GGAATTGTGAGGGGTAGGGGAAGGGAAAAAAGGGAAAGGAAAAAATATGAAAAGAGGGAAAAAAAATGGAAACAAGGTCTTTGCAAATAGGGAAGGGTGGAGGGGGTAAAGGGAGATCAAGGGAAGGGGAAAAAAATAAGAACCAAGAGACTCATATAAAGGTACAAGATCCCAATGATGAATGTAACCATATTTTATACTGAAAATGTACCAATAAACTTAATGGGAAAAAAAAATTTACACGTGTCTAGGAAAAAAATAAAATAAAATAAAGCAATTAGTTGATGAACCCAAGTAGAAATGATTTTGAAGGTTTTTGTTTTGTTTGTAGGATTATCTTACTTAACTGTTAAATTGCTATTTTATTACAGAGTTCAGTATTTTTTCATCTAAAGGGTTCCACCTGCTGGTGAATCATGACAGCATTTTCCTTGGTCAGAATCAGGCAGTTTGGGGCTTTTGTTTTGTTTTGTTTTTTGTGGTACAGGAGACTGAATCCAGGGCCTTCACACTGAGCAACATCTCCAACCCCTTTTATTTTTTTGAGACAGGGTCTCACTAAATTACCTAGGCTAGTCTCAAGCTTGTCATCATCCTGCCTCCGCCTTGCAGAGTGCTAGGATTACAGGAATGTGGCACCATGCCCAGCTACAATCAGGCTATTTTAAAAGTCCAATAGACACAGGCCCATTGCAGTTCAAAGAAAAATGATTGCTTCAGGAAACTTCTCAAGTGGGAGTGTGGGAGTGGGGGTATACTTAGATATGCTATAAAGTCCATTTCTTGAGAAGGATGGAAATCAAAACTTTGAAAACACTTAACTATAGTTTATGATAGAGGGGGAGGTGTTAATGCCTTCCTTATTTTCAATCTATTTAATTTTACTGTATTCACAAGCTTTTGATTGCCCTGGCTAGATGAGGGCAGAGTGTTCTGAAGTCTTTTGCGATATTTCATTGCACTTTCCACTATAAATTCCCTGAATTGATATCGCACGTTTAATCCATACAGATAATATTAATTTCCATCAGGTCGGACATCATATTAACAGATCCCATTTAATCTACTCTTAACTATTCCCGAGCGCTGTACCCAGCCCTCCACATCCAACAAGTTGCCCAGAGCAGTGAGGAATTCAGTTTCTAAATTACAAGAGCACCATCTTCTGGCGAAATATTTTCTTTGTAGGGAGGGTGTTAAGAGCTACCAAAAATACTAGTTTTTCTGGCAAAAATTGCATTACATCACAAATACCTTGAAATTCTATAGCGTTCCTCATTTCCTTTGGATTGGCACTCACCACCCCCACCGCTCCCACCACTGAAAGGTCCTCCTATCCCTTAGCAGTGAAAAGAGCTAGTCCGTCTTTCCCGGTTTTCCATTAAACTAAACCGGTTTCAAGTTTCAGCCCCTCCTTGAATTCCAGCCTGCTGAGACTCCCGCTAGAACCATCCAAAATGGAGCCTCTGGTTGCTCACCCATTAAAATGCTCCGGGCCCAAAGCAAAGGTATTTGCAGTTTTGCTATCTATGGTTCTATGCACAATGATGTTATTTCTTCTACAACTAAAATTCCTAAAACCTAAAATCAACAGCTTTTATACCTTTGAAGTGAAAGATGCCAAAGGAAGAACTGTTTCTCTGGAAAAGTTTAAAGGCAAAGTAAGTTACATCTTCTGGTTTTGTTTCCATTGTTTTTCCACATTTCTGCTTATTCTCTTACTATAATCAATTTTTGCTGTTAAATAGTCATAGTTAGAATGTGATCTTTAAAGCAATTTTATTAGTACATCATTTTACGTAACAGAATCTGAGTTTATATACCTCTAATGGATGAACTCTTATTTTTCTCAAAAATGTTTACTTTTGTGTTGACTTAATACTTTTAGTTGTCTACAAAATAGTAATATGAAGATAGCAGCATTTATTAATGAAAGTATTAAGTCTAATCGAATATTTAAAAGCAGTAAATAATGATAGTTTTTTAAACTTTCATGAGTACCTAATGTTTTTTAAGGGAGGTAATATATCAGAGTCTTCTGGATTATGGCTTTCAGTAAAATTGAATTTGCATAAAAATGTGAAATAACATCTATCAGAGGTTATATTCTTGCAAAATGGTTTAAGATTTTACCTACTTGCAGGATTTTTTTTTTTTTTTAATGTTTCACTTCACTTTCCGGTTGATTTTTTTCTTTTTCCGGGAGGTTACACTAGTTGTAAACGTGGCTAGTGACTGCCAGCTCACAGACAAAAATTACTTAGCGCTGAAGGAACTGCACAAGGAGTTTGGACCATTCCACTTCAGCGTCTTGGCTTTTCCCTGCAATCAGTTTGGCGAATCGGAGCCCCGCTCGAGCCAGGAAATAGAAGCTTTTGCAAGACAAAACTACGGAGTAACATTCCCCATCTTCCACAAGATTAAGATTCTAGGATCTCAAGCAGAACCTGCCTTTAAATTTCTTGTTGGTAAATATCTACCTTGCCTCACCAATATAATCTTTTTAATTGCTTTTTATTTAAAAAAATAAAATACCAAGACCATACTTTCCTATTTCATTTGAAATGTTTTATTGGGAAATTTTCATAAAACTATCCAAGAACCAGAATCTCATCCTTCATAACTTTCTAGAAGTTATGCTTTCCTTAAGTTAATGTTTTAACTTCTTAGGTGGCAAAAAAATTCTACCCACTGTATTTTATTCCTTATGACCTCTTCCTTAAAACTTTACTTGAATTGTGGTCATAGCTATTTTCACAAAATATCGCAGTTCTCCTTTCCATTACCTAGCACTGGGGAAATATCTCTCATTATTAAAACTGTGCACTCATGAATATTACTGAGCTTATTAACTGAACAGTATTGGTGATTAACTATGTTGACTTTCTTATCTGAGATAGTGTCTTCAAGGATGACTATCTCAGCTTCTTCAACGATGAGTATCTCAGGTTTTTGCTAAAATTCAAAATAATATAACCTGATATTTTTCAGAAGGCAAGAGTATTAGTCTTCCTTTTTAATTAAGCTAGCCACAGAAATCTAAAGATGTTCCCAAGTTAATTAACATGACAGCAGTGTGGTATAGTGACAGTACAGGCTTGGGCCTCAAATAAATTCAAACCCTACTCAGTTGCTTTTGCTGTGTGGCTTCAGGTACATGAGTTAACTTCTCTGTGCCTGTTTCCTCTTTTGTAAAATGAAAGTATAAATGTATCTACCTTCTAGAACTTTGGGAAGGATTAATTAAGCATGTTAATTGGAAAAGTAAAATACTTACATGCTGCTTACTCTGTGCCAAACAGTAAAGGACATTCACTCAGCTAATGATCTTATCTAACTTATTCTGAGAACATCTTCAGTCCTATTTTCTCTCTCTCTCTCTCTCTCTCTCTCTCTCTCTCTCTCTCTCTCTCTATATATATATAATTTTAGTTTTGATAAAACAATGCCTCTGGCATATCAAACTCCAATTTAACAAATGAGATACACTGTAATATTTTATATAAGCATGTAATCAGAATCCTCTAAAAACATTTAATTTCTAGGGAAAGTTTATATAATGCCTAACACCATGAATAGCAAACAGAGTGATGTCTTCATTCCTTTTATATCTGGAATACACTGAGGCAAGAAAAGCCAAAGTGCATGCTCTTGAACTAATCATTCCTCAATTTCAGCAGCCAAATACTTGGGTACAGTAGCTTCCAGGTTATTCCTCTTTATCACTGAAAAAGCTTGTAAAACCCGGCTTACCCTGTGTGATAAGAGGGTAATAGTGACAAGATGTGTCACTGAACTTAGGTGGGGAGTGCAACAGACCCCCAGGGTTCAAGAGCACAAGTCTGGAAGAGGGAGAAATGGATATCGACCCAGCCCCTACCACTCATGAGCACTGATCTTGAGTCTAGGTTCCCATTTTTCTCATCTAAAAAGTGGGGATAATAATAATATTTATCTCAGAGGGCTGCTGTAAAGATGAAATAAAAGGATCCATTTAAAGCACTGAGCCTACTTTAGTAGGCACATAGTAAAGTGCCAGGCAAATTAATAAATTTTAGTTATACTCATTTTATCTCTTATGTTCATTAGCAATATGAACATAAATTCTGGATGATATAAAGGGAGAAAATCCACGTTTCACATAAATTAAGATTTATCAAAAGGATATCACAGTTTCTCAAAATGAAATGGTTATTTAGAATTCCTTGCCATTGTCAGCTGTGTAATGTTAAAAACACTAATATATTTCATATGAAAAATAATCCACACATTCCCGTTTCCAGGAAAATTTAGAACATTTTATCTTTAAAAATGTTAAGAAACAAAATTTTGAGTTGATGACAAAGTAAATTTCTTTAAATCAACAAACCTAAAATAAACATCTTTTGTTTCATGATTCTAGATGAGTAATCAATGAAGTTATCAAGTACAGTATATCCAAATCCAATTATTCAAAGCCTGAGCCCTGCTTTGTTTCTGCAGTACCAGAGATTGAACTCGGGACCTTGCACTTGCAAGGCAGGCAGCATCCCCAGCCCAGCCTGAGCCCTCCTTTGTCTGGGTGTTTTCTTTTGTATTTGATATTATGACAGTTCTAGAACCTGATTCTAAAGTTGTCACTTATGCAGATACCAATGAAAATTAAAACTTTGACAAAGAACAAAATAGCTCATGAAACTATGTTCTGGGTGTTTTAGATTCTTCAAAGAGGGAACCGAGGTGGAATTTTTGGAAGTACCTGGTCAATCCTGAAGGTCAAGTGGTGAAGTACTGGAGGCCAGAGGAACCAGTTGAGGCCATCAAGCCTGACATCGTAGAACTCATTAGACAAATCATCGTCAAAAAGAAAGAGGATCTATGAACATCCCATTGAGCCGCGTTGATGCAGTATAACAGAGAAACATTGCCAGAGAATTTGGTCTCATTTTCAACATTTTGACAATTAAGTGTGGCACTGAAGATTGTTTTTTATGTTTTCTTGCTAGCCGATGGTAATGAATATCCCCAGGACTTAACTACTCGAAGCCAAAGAATCAAAATGAAATATATTAAATACTTCTTCTGACCGCACTGAAAAATTCAGAATATACAGTTGCCAATGTGCTTGAATATCCTATTACTCAACTTGACATTTTCTAGGATTGCATTTTACGGGAATGCCAACACAGTATACTACTGGATTCAAGAACAGTGTATGTGACTAAAATTTTCAGAGTAGCTAACTGTAATGGCTATGTTGATGTAAATAAAACACAAAATAAATTATGAAAGATGTAAAATATTCATAGAGCCAAATCCTCATATATGTTTGTCTGTTTCATGTACTAGATTTTATTTACTTTTAAAGTTCATGTTTCTAGTCTATTTAACTATAACTGGCCAAATAGTCATTTATGCTACCATAATATTTGAAAAGGCCTTCATATTCAATACTTTTCTCCCCATTGTGTTCTAGAAACAAGTCAAATTCCATAAATAGAATGCTAATATATTTAGACTAAATTAGTCATTTGGAAAGAATTCAATGCTACATCATTGTGATAGCTGAAACAGTAAAACTCAACTCCAGTCTAAACTCTAATGTAAAAAAGGGAAAGGATATGGCTGTAATCACAAAATGCTCTAAAATGTAGACCTTTCAGTAGAGACGCGATATACTTTTTCTCCCAAAGTCATGACTTTTTACATTTATCTGCCTTGTAAATATTGACTAACAAAACAACCTGCCAAGTTGGTGAAGGTTGCTGTCCCATGAAATATATAGTGATTGTATAAAAGAAGTAAATATGAAGACTGGGGCAAGTGCATGTGTGTATTTGTGTATATGTAAATAGTCATAAAAATTTGGCTAAGAAGACCCAACTTAAATAGCCTGTGATTTGGCTACTTCTGACCTAATAGATGAAAGTGAAAATATTTTTGCAGTAGAGTCAGTCATAGCACCACCATACATAATGTAAATGTTTGGACTAAAATTCTTAAAGAAACAAAAAATATTTCCTAGAGCACCTCCTGCTTCAAAACCTATATCCAACCACTGAGCCATGAATGTGTTTAGTGAGGCACTTGGTGGAGGCAGAGGCATAATTTCCACTGGTGGTGACAAGAGTTGACAGGGCTGGCTGCAAGAATATCAAATTAGTGTGTAACCAAACCTGCTTCCATCTCTCACCAGCTGCAGGATTTTGGTGAGTCACTTAACTATTTAACATCATTTTCCTCACCTGTAAATTAAGTGGGGCTCAAATGAAACAAAAAGCCAGTGCCAATTCTAAAAGTCAATAAGCATACTTAACAGGAAACAAATCAGAACAAACCTGTTTTAACAGTGAAGAAACAAAAGCCACCCTACAAGTTCACCTGTCCTTTGCAATTTTACCCTAAAGAGCCTATTGGTAATTTGAATTCTGAGCCTCTAGGCAAAATTTTGATCAGGCCAACCCCTGTAAGTGTTGTTGCCCCAGTACTGTTGCCATGTACCCACTCTGACTTCCATGAGCCCCTAACAGTTATGTCCCTGGTGGGATGTTTTCCTGTGCCTGCATTAGATGAGTGAGCAGAACTGAACATGCCAGCACCACGCAGGAAACACAGATGGATGGTAACAGAGCTGCATGGGGGATGACCTTGACTTGTGATTCTGACGCCCTTCACACCTTAAATCACTAGTTCTTTCCAAAGCCAGAGAGAATGGGTTTCTTATACAAGGTGTGATCAAAATATATAGTGAATGTTTAATTTTTTTTAACTATTACAGTAAAAGACACACTAACACTCATTCCCTTCAAAATACTCCCCTTTTGAACATATTTATCCCGTCATTCTTGCCTTTCTGAAGTTGTTCTGGAAGTCTTTTATGTCTTTATGGAAGGTGATCAAAAATATGGTGAATGCTGCTGCTGAGTCCCATTCAATGAAAAGGCAGGCTCTCTGAAAGATTACAATGTCTCCTTATGGACCTTATGCATCAGATTTGATGCTGAGTGACTTCTGGCTCTTCCCCAAAGTCAAAATGATCGTGAAAAGCAAATGTTTTGAATTGATTCAGGATATCAAGGCAGCCATTATAGCACAAATAAAGACACTCATGAAAGAGGACTTTCAGAACTGCTTCCAAAAGTGGCAAGAATGATGGGATATTTTGAAGTGAAGGGGAATATTGTGAGGGGGATTCATGGCAATATGTCTTTTACTGTAATATGCTTTTTTAAAAAATAAACATTCATGGGCTGGGGATTTAGCTCAGTGGCACCTCGCCTGCCTCACAAGCACAAGGTCCTGAGTTTGATCCCCATACCAAAAATAAATAAACATTCATTGTATTTTTTTATCACATCGTGTGTATCTCCAAAACCTGGTTGCTTTATCCCAACCTATGGTCCCTGCAGCACCCAATCTCCCCGTGGCCTTTGAGTATATAGAACAGGCAGGTGGAGCTTTGCAAGTGTGTTCTGTCCGTTGCCTTGAGGGAAAGAAAACTCACGTATCCATCCAAAGTTCCCTAACAATTAGGCTCTGAGTGTTGGAAAGAGTGGACCCATTTGCTGATGTGCAGCCACCCATAACTTAAATGTCTCACACAAACACTGCTGGACAAATACGCTGAGAAAAAACCTGCACCTTTTCTGAATTAAGCAGTCTTTCCTTTTTTTGCCTTTTGGGGGGGGGTGGTGGTACCAGGGATCGAACTCGGGTCCTTGGGCTTGCCAGGCAGGTGACGGAACCACTGAGCTAAATCCCCAGCCCAAGCAGTCTTTCTTTAATCTCTTGGCACAAAATGTCAAGAACACAGACTGCTACAGAATGCCTAAGCTAAGGAGTGTAACAGAAAAATATCAGACATTACATAAAAAGGTACTTTGAAAAAAAAAAAAAAAAGTATAATACTTCTC